AAGATCAAAAGATGCATGAATAAAGTAAGACCCCCTTTTGAACGGGTGTATGACTATTTATATGAGACGGACATGATTCAATCATTATTTTTAGATGATAGTGGTAGTCATAAAGACCCTGACCATTTTTTGTAAATATCATGGGAGAACAATTGGGGCATTTGATTCAAAGTTGTGAGGTTTTTAAGCAAACATTACAGAGCTTGATGGATGAGGCCATCATTGAATTCTATGATGAATATGATGGAAATAGTGTGAATACAGTGGGTGACGAGTGTCCCTAGCAAGTTTTTTATCCCAAACCCGCTCACTGTTTACTATGATGAGAAACCAGAGGCCCTACTGAGAAAACTATCTTCTCTCCATGACACCAATGACCATTCATGTCCTAGTCCATTCCCTTATCAGACCACAAAGCAGTTCCATGGTGATATGATTGTGAATGTAGTGATACGAGGGCCTAATATTACCTCGAATAATCCAAGCACGGAGAATACCGCCAACATAGAGGGAATAGGAGGAATGACCCAAAGCAATCGAATTTATACCCCTGAAATGTCAGAAAGGGCCAAGAAAGAGAAAAACAAGATAGGAGAAGAAAATGCAAGGGAAAATCGAGATCCTCAACTGATGGTAAGCTCGAAAGTGCAAGTTAACAAATCGGTATAAAAAAAAGAAGCTTGCGAGTTTCTAAAGATCATCAAACATAGTGAGTACAGTGTGGTGGACTAGCTAAATAAACTGTCAGCTCATATTTTCTTACTGTCTCTACTACTGAATTTTGAGCCGTATAGGAATACTTTTCTGAAAGTGCTCAACCAAGCTTATGTCGAGTATAACATATCTGTTGAGAAGATAGACCACATGGTTAGGAATATTATAGCCTCAAATTTTATCACCTTCAATGATGATAAAATACCTCCGAAAGGACGTGATAGTGTTAAGGCTTTACATGTTACTGTCAAGTGTAAGTCCCACACTGTGACCAAAGTGCTGATTGATAATAGATCATCTATCAATGTTATACCTCTAACGACATTATCAAAGCTTCCAGTGGATCTCTCTCACATGCAGAATAGCCATATGATTGTAAGAGCGTTTGACGAGACATGAAGAGAGGTAATTGGCGATATAAAGATCCCATTACAGATTAGTCCTTGTACCTTCAATGTCATATTTCAAGTAATAGACATAACTCTAGCATATAGTTGTCTACTTGAAAGACCTTGGATTCACACGACCAGAGTAGTACCTTCATCACTACATCAAAAGGTAAAATTTATCATAGAAGAAAAATAAGTCTGTGTGGATGGTGAAGAGGACTTATTGGTAACAAAGACCTTAACAACTCCCTACGTTGAGACAGCAGAAGAAGTAATTGAATGTTCTTTCAGAGCTTTTGAAGTAGCAAATGCTACTTATGTAAGAGAAGGGTCAAGGATGCCGATTCTTCAATTATCAAAAGCTACAAATATGGTAATTAAGCAGACTGTTGGAAAGGGTTGACGAGCTGGGCAAGGCTTAGGAAAAGCTCTACAAGGGATCGCAAGAGCACCATACCCAATTGAAAACAAAAAAAGATGGGGGTTAGGCTATAAGCCTACGGCTGCTGATAAGAATAATGTAATGCTGAAAAAAAAAAGAAAAGAGAATGGCACGTCTCAGAGGACAAGACTTGATTGATGAGAAAATGATTTTCCTTTATTTGTATGAAACCTTTCGTTCAGTCGGGTATATCTATCCTGGGTCGACAAGAGTTGAACAAGGAAGACTGGTAATGGGATTAGATGAAGCTTTCTCACGACTTCAAATAGAAACAGATGAAGGAGTCCTGCAAAATGAAGAGATCTTTTTTCCTTTTAGAAGACTCAAAGAATGGTGTACCGTTTTTATTGTCTTTGAACCTTTAAACTCAAAAATTTCAATTGCTTCTACCCAAAAGCATGCGGAGGTTAAGTGTATGGGCTTATTTTCATTATCTTAATAAAATGATGAATGCAATGCATTTCACTTATACCGTGTTCTCTATTTTTCATTTTTCTTTTCTTTCATTACCATTCTCTTTGCCCTTGCCAAGATCAATATATATTTCTTTATGATTATACTCATTTTCAGGTTTTCTAATAATGAACATTATGGATGACCAAGGCAATAACATCGGGTTTGATTTTAAAAATTTGACTCACATTAGCGAGCTTGATAATGGTGTTGATTTAGAAGACTATGATTTACCTCATGATCTGTTAAAATGGATGAAGTAAGAGAAGAAAATTATAAAACCCCACCAGAAATCAATTGACCCATTAAATTTGAGAGATGGTGACGATAAGAAAGAAGTCAGGATCGATACTTCACTATCACCGATTGAGAAGCAAAAGTTGGTGAATCTGCTACAAGAGTACATGGATATATTTGCATGGTCTTACCAGGATATGTCAGGACTTGACACAGAGATAGTTGAGCATAGGCTACCTTTAAAACTAGAATGCCGACCAGTACAACAGAAGTTGAGACGCATGAAGCCAGAAATATTGCTAAAGATAAAAAAAGAAGTAAAAAAATAATTTGATGATGGTTTCTTAGAAGTAGCCAAGTACCCTGAATGGGTAGCCAATATAGTCTCAGTTCCTAAGAAAGATGAAAAAGTTAGAATGTACGTGGACTATCGAGATTTAAATAGGGCCAGCCCAAAGGATAACTTTCTATTGCCACATATTGATACCCTTATGGATAACATTGCTAAACACTCTACTTTTTCATTCATGGATGGGTTCTCTAGCTATAATCAGATCAAAATTGCTCGTGAAGATATGGAGAAAACTACATTTGTGACAATGTGGGGGAAGTTTTGCTATAAAGTTATGCCTTTTGGGCTAAAGAATGCTGGTGCCATATATCAAATAGCGATGGTCACTCTCTTTCATGATATGATGCATAAGGAGATAGAGGTATATATTGATGATATGATAGCTAAGTCTCAGAAAGGGAAAGATCATGTTGTTAATCTAAAAAAGCTCTTCAAAAGATTATGAAGATATCAACTCAAGCTGAATCCAGCCAAATACATCTTTGGTGTTAAATCTAAAAAATTGTTGGGGTTTATAGTTAGTGAAAGAGGTATAAAAGTAGACTCTGATAAAAATTCGAGCCATTCAAAAATTATCAGCACCACGCACGTAAGGGAGTGAGAGGCTTTTGGGGTGATTGAATTATATCTTTCGCTTCATATCCTAACTTACCTCGAAATGTGATGCAATCATCAGGTCTTCACAAAATAATCCTGGTGAATGGGATGAAAAATGCCAAATGCATTTGAAAAGATTAAAGAGTATTTGATAAGCCCACCGATGTGATTCCACTAGTTGCAGGAAGACCATTGATTTTATATCTAATGGTTCAAGAAAAATCGATGGGATGTGTATTAGAGCAAAGAGATGAAACTGGCAAGAAAGAGCATGCTATATACTATTTGAGTAAAAAGTTTACAGAGTACGAGGCCAAGTACCCTCAAATAGAAAAAATATATTATGCCTTGGCTTGGACTACTCGTAAACTCAGACAATACATGCTCTACCATACGACGTGGCTAATATTAAAATTGGATCCCCTCAAGTACATTTTTGAAAAACCATCCTTATCAGGCAGGCTAGCGAGATGATAAATCATACTCTCAGAATATGATATTGTGTATGTGACGCAGAAATCCATAAAAGGGAGTGCAATTACTGATTTTCTTACTGATTGAACTACAGAAGATTATGAACCTATGAAGTTTGACTTTTCAGATGAAGATTTGATGGCAATCTTGCAAGATGAAGATAAAGAGCCTGTAAGAGAAGTATGGAAAATATTTTTTGACGGGACATCCAATATAATGGGGCATGGCATTGGAGTAGTGCTAATATCCCCAGAAGAAAATTATTACCCACGTACCGTGAGGTTAGATTTCAATTGCACAAACAATGTCGCAGAATATGAGGCATGTGTCATAAGGTTACAGATGGCCATTGAAAAGAAAATTGAAACACTAGATGTATATGAGGATTCAGCTTTGGTAATTTATCAACTAAAAGGTGAATGTGAGACCAGGGACTCGAAACTAGTATTGTACCAAAAGCACATAGTTGGCTTGAGGAAACATTTTCAAGAGATTCAATTTCAGCATGTTCATCGAGAAGAAAACCAGATTGCTAATGCCTTGGCCACTCTGGTAGTGATGTTTAAGTTAAATAATGGTGTGGGAATCCAGCCCATTAGAGTACAAATAAAAGTTTCATAGCTCACTGTTCAAATATGAAAGAAGAGGTAGATCGACAACCATGGTACTATGACATTGTACAGTATATCAAGTGTCAAAACTACCCAGAGCAGGCTTCAAAAAATGATAAGAGGATCATTCGAAAGATTAACAGCAGGCTTTGTGCTTGATGGAAAAATCATGTATAAAAAGGTTAAGATCAAATTTTACTAAGGTGCGTCGATGCTGTGGAAGCGAGAATGATACTTGAAGAAGTACACGAAGGGATTTGTGAAACACATGCTAATAGGCATATAATGGCTAAACAGATCATAAGAGTTGGTTCCTACTGGTCTACAATGGAAAATGATTGCATCAGTTATGCTAGAAATGCCACAAATGCCAAATTTATACAGATAAAATTCATTCTCCTCCAATCCCGCTGCACGTCTTGGCACCACCGTGGCCTTTCTCCATGTAGAGAATGGATGTGATCGGACCCATAACCCCTAAAGCTTCAAATGGGCATCGATTTATCTTTGTGGTAATCGATTATTTTACAAAATTGGTGGAAGCAGCTTCGTATGCTAGTATTACGCGATCAGTGGTGTGTAGATTTATAAAAAGAGAGATAATATGCCAGTATGGTCTCTCGAAAAAGATTATCTCAAATAATGCTAGCAATTTAAACAATAAAATGATGAAAAAATTATGTGCACAGTTTAAGATCAAGCATCATCATTCAGCACCATATCGCCCAAAAATGAATGATGCAGTGGAAGCTGCAAATAAGAACATCAAAAGAATATTGGAGAAAATGATCGACACATATAAGGATTGGCATGAAAAGTTACCTTTTGCTTTGCTTACCTATAAAACATCAATCCGAACCTCTATAAGGGCCACCCCATTTTCACTAGTGTATGGGATGGAAGCTGTACTGCCAATTGAAGTGAAAATTCCTTCTCTTAGGGTGTTGATGGAGATAAAATTGGATGAGGCAGAATGGGTTCAAAATCGTTTCGAACAACTGAATCTTATTGAAGAGACTCTCAACACTCAATTATGGACAAATGTATCAAAGAAGAATCATACGAGCATATGACAAAAAGATACGACCTCGATGCTTTTCGTGAGGGTGAATTGGTTTTGAAAAAGATTTTGCCATGTCAGCATGACAATAGAGGAAAATGGATGCCCAATTGGGAAAGTTCATATGTGGTAAAAAAAGCTTTTTCTGGTGGAGCCCTGATCCTTACAGAAATGAACAGAGATGAATTACCAAATCCTGTAAATTTAGACACTGTCAAGAAATATTTTGCCTAAAAAAAAGAGAAAAAAGTACAAAAGTACAAAAAAATGAAAAAAATAAAAATGAAAAAAATAAAAAATAAAAAAAATGAGAAAGGAAGTGATTCAGATTGAAAACCCGAAAAGGGCGATTTGAGTCAAATGGGGTCATTTAAGCTGAAAACCTGTAAAGGCGGCTTGAATGAAGGTGAAGCTCGAAGAAAGTTTTTCAAAAAATGAAAGAATGACACCAAATGGACGAATTGTCACCAGAATTAAAAGAGATGACTTTTAGGAGGTAAGGTCTCATTAGTCATAGATGTGGGGCAAAGATTGGTCATATGAAATCACATGTGACAAGATCGCAAATGTAACGAGTTTTTGGGAAAAGACCTGGTCTAAGTAAGCCGAGGTCATCCAAATATTCATTATTTAGAGAATTGATATTTGATTTTTGAAATACTTTTAAGTTAACTGTTCTTTATGTCTCGAAAGGCTTATCTTTCTAAACTCGAAATACCCTATTACTAGTCATATTGCACACCCAACTTTGAACCTGAAATCATTACGTTTGTCATTTAAAATTAAGATATTGACTGATAAAGCTCATAATAGACCAATACATCGCTCGAAAAGAGAATGCAATATGAGGATGACAAAAATAGTAATATGGAGGCAGAAAGAATGAAACGAAATCGATTGATTACTGAAGACAAAGAAGAAAAAAGGGATAAAGAATAAAAAATTAGAGGTTTTAGAGTGACTAAAAGCCAGATTGGTCCGTTATGAGACAGTGATTACTGATAAAAAATTTAAAGACTTAAAAGGACGAGATTACTGGAAGTGGCTTTTAAAGTTTGAAAAAATTGAACCAAAAGTTGAATTAACTTGGATGAAATGCATGATATAATTCGTTGATGGCATCTTTGTCTTTTCTTTCATCACAATCATTGTACGCATTACATGCCTCTTGATAAGTTGCATATAAGGTTTCTTTATGAGACATCAAGAATAATCAACATTTTTCTTTCTCGAAACAAAGATGATGGCCTTGAAGATGGTATGTTAGCACAATCTTTAAAATCAAAACTATTGGTCTATGGAGTACCTAATCTCTTATTTCTCAACTCACAGCTCAGTCTTGTATAATTGGCTGACTTGTGGTTCAATCTCAGTCGTCTTTAATCTTTGACTCGTGGTTTAATCCCGGTCATTTCATTCTCTGACTTACGGTTCAGTCCCAATCATCTTTATTCTTTGGCTCGCGGTTTAATCCCGATCATTTCATTAATTTTCTGACTTGTGGTTTAGTCTTAGTCATCTTTAATCTTTGGCTCGTGGTTTAATCCCGGTCATTTCATTAATTTTTTGACTTGCGGTTCAGTCCCAGTCATCTTTAATCTTTGGCTCGCGATTTAATCTCGATCATTTCATTAATTTTTTGACTTGCGGTTTAGTTCCAGTCATCTTTAATCTTTGACTCATGATTTAATCCCGATCATTTCATTCTCTAACTTGTGGTTCAGTCCTAGTCATCTTTAATCTTTAACTTATGGTTTAATCCCGATCATTTCATTAATTTTTTGACTTGTGATTTAGTCCCAGTCATCTTTAATCTTTGGCTCGTGGTTTAATCCTGATCATTTCATTAATTCTCTGACTTACGATTCAGTTTCAGTCGTCTTTCATCTTTGACTCATGGTTTAATCCCGATCATTTCATTCTCTGACTTGCGGTTCAGTCCCAGTCATCTTTAATCTTTGGCTCGTGGTTTAATCTCGATCATTTCATTAATTCTCTCGACTTGCGATTCAGTCCTAATCATCTTTAATCTTTGACTCGCGATTTAATCCTGATCATTTCATTAATTCCCTCGACTTGCGGTTCAATCCCAGTCATCTTTAATTTTTGACTCATGGTTTAATCCCGATCATTTCATTAATTCCCTCGACTTGCAGTTCAGTCTCAGTCATCTTTAATCTTTGACTCGCGGTGTCGTCCCGATCACTTTCTTTTATTCGACTTTAGGTGTTGCCTTAATTGATTCTTTTATTTTTCAACTCATAATGTCGCTTTCTTTATCACTTGACCTGACCTGTAAAAAAAATATATTCATGATTTACTTTCGGACAAAATCGTTGTCTTTATCTTTGCCCTATTCTTGATTCTCAGTAATGTGCAAAGAAGAGCAGCTGTAGACATCGATTTTGTCCGGGTCTACTGTTTCCATTTTAAGTATATTAATACTAATAATAATAATAATAATAATAATAATAAATATTTAAAAATATATAATAATTAAAAAATTAAAAAAGAGAAATGAGACAGAAACCAGGGGCTGGTACGACACTGCTGTCCCCCCTGTCAGCCTCCCGACCAGCCCCTGTTAGCCTCCTAACCAGCCCCCTGACCAACTCTTTTTCAGCCCACCTACAGCCACCCAAATCTCACCTAATTGAAGCTCTTTAAAATCAACAGACGAACTCTTCCCCCTTCTTCTCTCTGGCTCTCTAACAAAAAAAAAAAAAAACCCATTCGATCTACCCACGAAAATCCTCGAGCTCAGACGAACTCTTCCCCCCTCAAAACACCCTCAACAGCCCCAGACAGATCCTCATTCCCATGCATAAGAAACCAAATTTCACGTAACCCAAAAAAAAAACACCCAAACCAAAAACGAAATAGGCCTACACAAATCATAAAAAAAAACACAGTCCTCCCCGTAGGAAGGAACCTAGCACCAAGCTACCTGCAAGAAGGAAGACAAATCAGTTTTTGTTCACAACAAAAAAAAAAAGAAAAGATGAGAGATCCGAAACTTTGAAGATAGACTCGCGACAGTTAAGCCACTTTTAGGCCAAGCGAAGGTCGGATCTGGAAAGAGGGCGTCCAGAGGAATTTTCGATGACTTTTTGACCATTTTTCGATCACCGAAGACCACCGTCGATGACGACTCACACGGCGGCCGGTGCAGGCACGACGTTAGATTTCGGTGAGACCAGAAACCCCCCCTCAGAGCCTTTTCTTTCTGTGAAACCAAACAGACTGAGGAAAGAAAAAAAATCTGACTTTTACAGAAAAGATAGGACCAAAACGACGTCGTTTTGAGCATAGGACCAAAACGATGCCGTTTCAAACGTAGAGGATCCACGCGTGGATCGAACCAGACCCGAGATCCTTATAACCCGACCCGACGACCCGCTTCAGCCAGCCTTAAACCGGTTCAGACGAACCGCCAGTGAATCGATTTGAACCGCTGGTCGCCTGAACTGCCAATTCGGTCAGATCGCCCGAACTGTCGATCCAACCTCCGAACTGATCAAACCGCCTAGATCAACGTTGATCGGATCATTGACCCGTCCGGTTCAGGTAAAAAAAAAATTTTTAATTTTTTTTATATATTATTATTTTTGTTATTTTATATTTATGCATGATAAATGTTTAAATTTATTAGGATAAATATCTAATTATTATTAATAATAATAAAATGAAAACAATATAAAGTAATAACTAAAAAATATATTAAAAATGTTTAAATAATAATAGTAATAATGGAATAAGCGTTTTATTTTTCCTACCTAGATGTTGGAAGGAATAAAAAAATATTTTTTCAAACAAATAATTTCGCCTAGATGTTGGAGAATTATTATGAATAAATTTTCATTAAAAAAAAACATAAGAAATTTTTAATTAGTTTTCAAAAATTATAAAAAAAAAATTGAACTTGCTCCGAAAGTCCGCCTAGATGATGGGAATTTTTAGAGATATTCGTATTTTACTTAAACCCTAAACACTTTTTTTTTAATTTTCAAAATTTTAAGTTTTAAAACCCCTAAAAATCCAAAATTCCTTAAGATTCAAAACCTCTTAAAATCCAAAGTCCTAAAAATCCTAAGGATACGTATGAAAATTCTATTTGAAGCAATTTGTTCCCGAATGCCTCCTAGATGATAGGGTATTTAAGAAATTTTACTTCGTTAAGTCTTTTCACACGAGTTCTTAATTCACATTAATAATAAGATTAATAAATAAAAGTATAATAAAATTGGGATCTTAAATATAAACAGTCACACCTAAGCTCTGCCTAGATGTTGGAGAGTCGAGGTGGTCTCATTATACTTAAGAATCCAACTCTTAAATTGCATTTCATTGTAAATGACATTCATTAGCATACATACGTTGACATATTATTATCGATAATTGATTGCATTATTCTCTCTTTAATTTGCTGTTCGATGATAAAATATTTTATAGTAAAAAACAAAAAAAAGGATAATACTTTAAAAAAAAAGAAAAAAAATCTTTTAGTGATATTATAAAATAAAACAAAAATAACATTCCGAATGAAATAATTCTTAGTACTCTATCTAGATGTTGGAAAGTCACTAACAATTATTTTCTATAAAGATTGTTATTTCATTTTAAGGATTATTGTATTAAATCTTAGGCGAAAAGAATTATTTTAAATTCTGCCTAGGCGATGGAGAATTTTAAGATAATTCTTTAACTTAAAATATTTTCTCAATAGTTCTAAATAAATATTTTAGCAAAATTTTCAAGTGAAGAGAATTAGTGTTAAATTTCAAATTAAAACTATTTTTATCCAACACCGAAAATAGAGCGTAATTAAATGTTACCAATTTATGGGCATTGTGGGGGTGCTAATCCTTCCCCACGTGTAACCAACTCCTGAACCCAACCTGATTTTTCATAGACTGAAATTTATCTTTTTGATAAATTTTATATCCATTTTTATAGTTTTATTAAAAGGATAACTTTTTGGGTAGTCAATCACACCCTAACAAAGATTGGTGGCGACTCTTTTTATTTCTCTCGATTTTAAAACTCGTTTTACGTCTGACAGTCCCAAAACTGTTATGACAGTTTGGCGACTCCGCTGGAGATGCTCACCTGAGTTCATAGCCACACCACGCACCTTAGGCCAGCAGTTCCTCTTCACCTTAAACTTGTGGTAAGCATTGCCAGCCTTAAGAAGAGGTTTCTCGGTCCTACCACCTCCTGCAACCTGGCCAACCATGGCACGACAGCCGCTTGGAACAATCTTCTTGGCACCAGATGGAAGCTTGATCCTAGTTGTGTCGTTATCAGGGTTGTGACTGATAACAATAGCATAATCACCAGAAGACCTAGCGAAAACACCACGATCACCAACGTGATGTTCGACGTTGCAAACGACAGCTCCTTCAGGGATAGATCTAAGAGGCAACACATTTTCGACCATAAGAGTAGCCTTCTTACCACAGTACACGAACTGTCCAGTGTACATACCCTCGGCAGCAACGAACAGTTCCTTCTGCTTCTTGTAACGGAAAGGGTGACGGAAGACCACGCGGGCTAAGGGCGCGCCACGGCCCGGGTCGTGGATGACTTCGGTGAGCACACCTTTTAGGTAACCATTTCGTTCGCCGAAGTCGAGACTGCGAAAACGGGCGGGACCCTTGCGGTGGTGGGTGTGGGCCTTGAAGACGGAACCCACACCCTTACGTTGAGCTCGGATGACACGACCCATTCGGTGAAAGTTTGTGCGGCTATGAGGAGACCTCTCTCTCGTAGGCGGCCGATGGCAGCGAGCAGTGAAATGGGGGTTGAAGGAAAATTTTTTATAAATAATCTAATACATTAATAATATTAAAAAAAATTTTCAATTTTTAAAGCATTACTATTCTTAATACCTTAAATCTCCATAATCGGACAAAAAATTTATTTTTCATCATTTTTATTATTTTTAAAATTAATTTTTATTTTATTTAATAATTGTTTAGTTAATTTTTATTTTTGTTTAATAAAAAATATTTTTATTATATTAAAAAATTTTATAAATATTTTAATACGTTGATAATATTTAAAAAAATAATCTTCTCACTTAAAAATTATTAAAATATTATTACTCTGAATACTTTAAAATCTTATTTTCAAATAAAAATTTCTTTTTTTATATTTTTTCATTATTTTTATTTATTTTTGGTTACTTTTTTTATTTTTCAAATTTAAAAATATCAAAAATTTAGAAATCAATTTCATTTTTTTAATTATTGTTAGTATTATTTTCTTTAGGTGCTATTTATTATATTATTTTATGAGATTTATTTTAATTTTTTAACTAAATTATCAAGAATTCATTGTTTATCTTCGCTTATTTTTTGTTTTCACTTTTATTATTATTATTATTAAAATATAAATAAAATAAATATTTATTTTAACAAATTTAAAAATTTAAAAATACATAAATAATAATAATATTAAAAATATTAAAAATAATATTAAAAATTAAAAAAAAATTTAAACTTAATCAGACAACTGTATCAACAGTGCGGTATAGTTCAAGGTCGGTCTGCCGGTCTAGAACCCTTTTTTGCAATTCAAACCAGTTCGACGTCGGTTCAGTCAAATTGGTCAATGCTGGTCAGCTGCAGCATCTTCGAGTTAGGTCGCGCTAATCTTCAAGTCGGGTCTCGGGTTCACGATGATCGTCCTACTCCCAAAATGGCATCGTTTCGATTCTAACCTTTTTTTTTAACTATAAAAACCCAACTTTTTTATCAAATCATTTCAGCCTTCCTTTTTAAAAAAAAAACTTCAAGCTCAACCAAAAAACTTTGGGCTATCCCCAGGAAAATGGCTCGTAGCTGCCGTGGTCCGTTGCTGTAACTAGTCACTGGTCGTCATGTCGGTTGCCAGAAAACTTCCAAAGCCACCCACAAACTCCTTTCAAACTCTCGATTCTCGTTCTAACCTTCTTTTTCCTTGAAATCACCTAGAAACTCCTAAATCAGCCTGTAAACTTTCGACCACATCCCTCTTTTCTTTGGTTTTTTTTTTTATTTGTTTCTTTTTCTGGGGTTGGTTCCCCACTCCACAGAATTTGGATTTTGGGTTTTTTTTTTTTTTTGGCAGGTTAGGGAAATGGTTTTTTTAGTAAAGGTTTCTTTTTTTGTTTTTTTTTTTTTAATGGAGGTTATCCCTCTTTTTTCCTTCTTTGTCGTGGTGCTTAAGCTCTAAATTTATAGAGCTGGGAAGAATGACGAAATCCAGGATTTCTATGATTTTTGGGGTGTTCAACGTGTCGCTGGCAGGGCGGCGATGCCTGATGTGACTTCTGTTTATTTTTTGTCCTTTTTTTCATTTTAGCTTAGACCATGTTTCTTGGAGACTTTGCCCTACCTACCATTGTTGAAAAGGAAGGGTGAGCCTAGTGATGCTCCTAGTGTGAAAGGCTAAAGTCAGAGGGGGCTCGTGGGTGCCAGTGCGGTGCACGGCACCCACAGCCACGGGCTCTCCTTTTTTTAATTAATTAATTATTATTATTATTATTATTATTATTATTATTAGTCAAAGTTTGGTCCTTTATCTGGATTTTGGGCTAAAGGTAAAATTTGGATTTTAAGCCTAGTTGACATGAATTTTGGGCTCAATATCTACAGAAATGAAACCGAGGCCCATTTTTGAATTTGAATAAAATCAAATGTCTACAACATATATACATATACATATATATATATATATGTATATGTATATATGTATGTATTTGCTAGAAAGGAAAGCAACCTGGCTGCATGCCTAATATAATTTTACTGCCTCATATTATGTTCTGAATATAGTATTGTATGTAATACATGTCTGGCTGTTTCTCAAATATAGAATGTCCCTAAACCCTTACCAAATAAAGAAAAGAAATATTTATTATTTATTTATTTATTTAAACTATTTGGATTTACAAGTGAATGATTTTGTCTTCTTATGATTCGACAGTAACTTCTTTATATTTGGCTCTTGGGATTAGATTCTCATTCATTAGTTTCTTTTAACAATACGGTGTAGAGTTAATTATACATTTGACATCTTAATTTTCAGAAAATGTATAAATTAATATTTCAAAAAAAAAAATGTACAATTTGCAACATAAATTTTTGAATCATGTAATGTTAACCCAAACTCAAACATAAACCCATCAATACTCCTTTTAATCCAATTAAAACTAAATTTTATTTGTTTTGCCTAAGTGGTAAAAATCCTATCCAAAATCAGTTAATTCCTGGATGTGCCATGTGGATGTACTCCTATTACCTCAGTATTTCATCATTTAATCCTGCAAATGAAAATTATAAATACCTTCTATGAAATGGGACTGCATTACCAAAAAAAAAAAAAATTTACTCCTATTAACTCACTATTTCACCATTTAGTCCTGCAAATAAATTGCTTCAACCCTATAAATATGTACTCTGTTCAAGCCTTCAACAGACTTACAGCAAACAAAAACATTAGCAAAATCAAGAGTGAAGGAGACTCTGAGACAGAGAGTATTGAGTGGAGTGATGGAGGGGATTGGTTCAAAGAGAATGATGGTGAACATGATGGTGTTGATGATGGTTGTTCTAACTTATGGGCGAGGTGAGTTAGCAGATGTTCATCCAGCTACCTCGAAAAACTCTGTGCTAAAATGTGTCCTTGTCAAGTGCGTGATTCGCCTCATTCCTGCCCGCATTGCACTTTGTGTTGGTCTCTGCATGGTAGGCTGCGAACTTAATCCCTCAGAAGTTGTCTATAATTGTACAAGCGATTGTGCAACCTCCATGGTCAATGCTCACAATCCTACTGGTAAAACACTAAAACTATCTTTATACCCTACATTTTTAAATCTAAGATTATAGCAATTCTTTCTCCATTTAATTTCCTTCAAACAATATTTTTATGGGTTTTTTTTCTCTTTCTGATTTTGCAGATGCTGAGAAAGTCGAAAACTTTGTTGGTTCCTGCTATGACACTTGCAAGCAGAAGAACAACTAGGCGCTCTTTTCTTCTTTTTTTTTTTTTTATCACCGTTGAACAGTAAATAAGTGGAACTAAAAGTACCCAGAATGAAGTAAAATGTTATTGAGTCACCTAGACAGCTCAAGTGTTTGGGTTGAAAATAAAGTTTTAATTATATTGTTGGATTGGAGTTGTATAATTGTTTTTCCATTGCACCAAAAAAGAGAAACGTACTCTTTTATTTATGCAATCGTAATTTTAACTTTCAAGTATATGATTGTTTGATTTTCCTTTGCTTTTGGTTTCGTTTAATGAATAATAGAGAACATTAATTAATTAATTAATTAATTAATTAATATATATATTTCTTAGTACATTTTTCATCTTTTATGGCTCTCAACATTTCTCAATCAATCAAGGCTAAAGCATTGAACATATTTTTATATCAATTTAAAACAATCGATTTTAGTTCAATATAATGTCTACTATAAATTACTATTTAAACAAATTCATTACCATTTTATTTTATTTTATTTTTCTATTTTGTGGAGCCAATCTCTCTCCTCCTTACCCGTGCCCTGGTTCTCTACTTTATTTTCGAAGATCATTGCACATATTTTATTTTTCCTTATTTTGTTTAAAACTATTTTCATTTTCTTCATCATCTAGGAAAACAGAAGAAACAAAAATCCGGAAGATTGGCCATAACAGTAATTCATGATTGCTTCCATAAAATTGCCCCAATTCACATTTTAAGAACTTTTTAAAAAGTGCATAAATTACCATGAAAAAAATTGTTAGAAAATAATCTTGGGCTTTGTAGTAATTAATCAATAACTCCAATCCCATGTTAATAAGAGGGAAAAGGCGGGACAAATGGTCTGTTTTAAGTGGATGGATTGCATTCATATCAACATGGAGAATATGAAGAACAAATGAAAATTTTTGATCATAAGCACATGTGAGATAGAGGAATAAAAAGGAATAATTATTTTTTCACGGAATTGGAATTTTAATTTTAGCACTCTATTAAAAAATTACGTGATTGTTGAAAAAAAAAAAAAAAGCGAGAATTATGGAAAGAGTAAAAATGGGAAAAGAGTAAGATCATGAGAAAGAGGATTGCCAGGTAGGTATAATTGACTTTCATTAATGTGGGCGATTAGTTGACTATCTCGGGACCATTGATTCCGGACCATTGGATTAAAGAAATATCAATGGTCAAAATTTAGTGTAAATTGTAATATTTTACTCTGGTTCCTTCCCAGATAGTGGTAATTAGTGTAGTAACTTGCCACATATGGCTTGTGGTTTCGTTAATAATATCAACAAATCTGTTGGTAATGTAGCTTCCAGTATATTTTTAATTTTTAATTTTTTTCAAAAATTTTGTAAAAAGTGATTACAATTTTTTTTACAAAATTTTCGTGAGAAATCTTTTTTTTTTCAACGAATTTCATGTAGTGAAAACAAATCACTGTATTATTGAAGGAATTTCATCTTAAAAATATTTTTAGATTATTAAAAATTTCTTTGAAAAATTGGTTGGCGAATTTTCTAATGGAAATTAGATTGGATCAAATTCCGGCGTGAATAACCGATGATTTTGGTGTATTACTGACGATGTTTTGTCGCTAGTATTTTTCTTATGGTTTCTGCTTTCATCAATATTGTCAGATAATTCCGTTGAAAAAATCACGTTAGTCATTATTTTCCTACAAAAGTTTGTTGTTTTCTTGTTCAAAACTGAATTGGAGATAACGATTTATGTAGCTAATAAGTCAATTTGTTAATAAACCGATGGTGATAATAATAAATTTGTTATTC